TAGGCTTTCTTGGAAACCCATGCATGCATGACCTTTGTGAAGGCAACGCACTTCCCATCTGTTGTCATGGGCAGCTGACAAATAAAATGGCGCTCCGGCCAAGTGTGGGCCATGGCTCTGATGATCCCAGGCTGGCATGGCCCATTGGTCAGTGGTTCGTCTGTAACATCTGGAGGATGCTGATTGCGGAAGGCTGCTCCAGAGGTGCACACAGGTGGGCAAGGTAGAGGAGATGGGCATCGGTCACATTTTCATGGGGCCAGTAACTGGGAAGGCAGAGGCAGCTCCATATCTGGGGCAAATGGGCAGCAACCCCTGCTTGTCCCCACCTGGTTGTGGCACAGGGATTCCCTCCCTCCACGGCCAGGTGCGTCTGCTCCAGTGCACCACCCACAACTGGCAGAAGCAGCAGTGGTCTTTTCCCATCTGCCTCCACCCGTCTTGGCAAAGTGTGGGGCATAGTTGGATGTTTTCGAGAAGGAAAGTCCCCTCTTCTGATTGCTGCCAGAAGATGTGTGGAGGGCATGTTGTGACGCCAGTTGCAATCCGGGAGGGGATGTGAATCACCGGCCTGTATGTTGCTGCCTGACTCGGATAACATCTAATGCTTGCATTTAAAGTGTTTCCCTCTCTCTCTTAAATCGCAGGCTGCAAACAGTTACCTAAGGGATCAGTGGTTTCATTCGCTGCAGTGGAAGGTAGGCGTCTTCGTATTTCTGTCACGATCGTTTGGAAAGGAGGAAATCCTTTGATTGATTGTTGCCACCCTTTAAAAAATATTTGCACTCTGTGAGACTTCCCATCATCTCTCGTTCAGGATGTTGAACAGATGTGCAGCTGTGCAGCCGCATCCATCGGTCCCCCGATTCTTGCTATTGTCTGTTAGCGCCATGACCCCTGTGGGCAGAAATTGCGAGTTTGATCACAGGAAGCTTTGACAGATGTGGCCAAAAATCTAGGGGAGTTAGTATGGGCCCTCCACTTTGCCATACTAAAAGAGAAGGCTGCTTGTGGGATGATGATGATGAATCTGTTATGCTAGTAGCTGGTATTCTCATGCCAGCTGTGGAAGAGTTGGCTTTCCTCCTCCATGGCCAAGATGAACGTGTTGGTTAGTGACCTTTGTGGGCTTCCTTGTAAGACTGATAGATCCATCTTTCCTTCACCACCCACACAGTCCTTCTTTTTTTGATGTTTTCCAGAGGATCCTTTTGAAGGACCCCCCCCCCCCAATATTTTCATCTCCTTGTCACCCTGAGATAACTCTTTGGGCTATTGTTGGTCATTGTGTTAGCCACTGGATATGCGGAGTGTTGAGCCGTGACTTCTTTTGCTGACTAATGGTTAGGAAATAGAATGTATGGAGGGAGCTTGAATCAGGAAATGATGCAAATTGATCGTCAGAGCACATTTCTGCTGCAATTTGGTATTGTCCCTTGAGATTGCTGTTTAACTTTTAATGCAGGCTGGCCGTTCCCAGCACAGTGCTCTCCAAATGTCTAGGATTGCAATGCCCAATGTCACGCAGCCGGCCAGGTGGAGGAAGGATAGTTTAAAATACTGAAGTAATGCCTAAAGTTTCTTGCAGTGAAGCCTTTATGCCATTGGGTGCTATTTTATGGACCACAGCAATAGCCTGTAGCCACTCTGTGGACCTCTTCAAACCTTGCTTAATGTGGACATTCAGAAGGCATATGGTGGGGTTCAGGATGCAGCTTGAAGGATCTTCTCCTGCACCAGCCTACCTGCACTTTGAGGTCATCCACAGAGCTGCTTCTCGCTTGCCCACTGGCAAGGTTGGTTAGGCTGGGGAGTACAAAGGAGAGTTCCTCTTCAGTGGAGACTCCACATCTCTGCAGTCCGCTTCTGTCAGGGCTTCCCTAGGCTCTTCCTTGCAGGTTTTCAGACAGACCCCCCTGCTTAGGCTGGCCTTCCATTCATTCATTCATGAATGGTATTTCTAGGCCATCCATCACTTTCATCTCTGGATGACTTAACAATAAAATCTATAAATACAGAGTACATATCTCAAACAACAATAAATTAAATATCCCATGACTGACATAAATAAAATTAATTATTAAAATAAGTCAAACAGATTAAAATAATTATAATAATACTTAAAATCTATTAACATTAAAATATTGGTTAAATAAAAAGGTCTTGACCTGGTGCCGAAAAGTATATAATGACGGCCCCAGGTGGACCTCACTCGGGCTGCACGTTTTGTTGGTCTTGTTTGTACTTTTTTTTATCGTACTGCATGGTATATTCAGTTTCAGCTTTTTAAATGTGGTTTTATCCTGTGTGTCAATGTGAGCTGCATTTATTTATTTATTTATTTATTTATTTATTTATTTATTTATACATGTATTTATAGGCTGCCTATATCTCCCAGGGCCTTCCTGGGCAGCTTACTATACATAAAACATATTAAACAAAATAAAACACATTAAAACACAACGGATTAAAACATCTATGAAAGCAAGATAAAAAGGGCATTCAGACTAAGTGTTGCAAAAAATCCTAAAAAGGTACATCTTTGCCTGGTGCGAAAAGGAAAATAAAGATGGTACCTGGCGAATTTCCCCAGGGAGGGAGTTCCAGAGATGGGGAGTAGCAGCAGAAAAGGCTCTTCTCCCGGTTGCCACCCTTTCCTCTCCTCTCCCTGAGGGGTGATTCTCATAGAAGGGCCTCCTGAGCTGGTCTGAGGGGGCGGGTAGGTATATATGGGCCACGTTTTACCCTTAAAGGTGACCTCAACACACTATTAAATAGCATAACAAATAAAGGTACACACATGGGTGTCTGACTCAGCCATTCCTGCACAGCTTAATGGCACAGCCCGCCTTCTCCCATTTCCTCCTGGAGAAGCCATGGAAATCCAGGGTGTGGGGTGTACACTTCTGCATTCGACAATCTGGTTTCCAGGTGTGACTCCCTGGATATAGCGGTTGCACCCATGAAGGCCCGGGCTGCTCCTTGGAGAAGGGAGGAACCAGAGTGCAAATCGCACCTCACCATGTGTGGGACCGAGGCTTCAGAGGCTTTACTTAAACAGAGCATCTGCTTTGCTGGGCATGTGCCAGCAGCAGTTTGCTTGCCAGAACCCCTGGACTGGTTCCCCCTCGTCCCCACGGCAGCCTGCTGGCCCCCTGCCTCTGGCTTGGCCCAGGCACTGGGAGGAATGAGAAAGAAGGGTGGCAGATTCCCCCCCCCCCCCCCAGGCTCTCAGCCTGTTGGGCATACAGGTGGGAGCAAGGCTAGAAGCAAAGCGGGGAGGAGCTGTTTCCCAACAATCCTTCAGAGGAGCCATCAGACTTTTCCCGTTCATGGAAGTTCATGGAGATCATGTCCCAGTCACTCTTTATGGTTTCCCACCACTACTTCCAGGGTTTTCCTTACCATGGAAAATTTGTTAAGGAAGAAAAGACAGAATAGAGGCTGTGGACAGGGCATTGAGCTGAGAGTTTCCAGAGAGAGCTGTGTCTCCAGGAGTGGCAAGAGGTCCGAGATACTTTCTCTAAGCATCTCAAGCAGACTGTGTCCTGTAGTAGAAGCTGAGTTGCTTGGGAGACAAATAGCAAAGGGACAAAGGGTTGTGTGAGGGAATTGTGTAGCAACCTGCTTTTCTGAGAGTGGATCTTCGTGTCCATGTGCGTGTGCAGGCAAGGGCGAGAGACAGGAGTACGTATGGGGAACTCCCAGGCTTTGCAGAAATAAAGAAAGAAAAACGGAAATACCAAACACCTTGAACTGAGCCCAGAAATGAACAGGTAGCCAGCAGAGTGGGTACCAGTGTGCCTTAATATGGGCTGCCAGGTGCATGCAGCACAGACCTGGAGGCTGCATTTGAACCAGCGGGAGAAGTTGCACCCGGTTGGAGGAGTTGTACGTAACGTAGCACGCATTGCAGTAATCCAATGGAGTCGTGACCTTGAACACGGGCACCCGAGGCTTGGTCCTTGGTCTCTAGGAAATGGACCCCCTTAGGCCTTGCAGCTCCTGAGGTCTGTGAGTCCGTGAGCCCATTTCCCCAGGCTGGTTTGAATTTTTTCCTACAGAGCCGGTTGTGGAAAGACCACAGCTTTCCCAGGATGAAATGCGGCTGCCACGACTCCAGCGGGAGTGCGTGGAAGAGCTGAGGCAGCCGCCCCCAGTGCCGCTTGGCCACGTTGCCAGCTGTCTTCAGCCAGAGGCCCTTGGGCAGACAACCCCCCTTTTGCCCCATCTGGCCGAGGGGCCGTGCGGCCTCTCCGCCTGACCGGGCCGAATCTGCTGCCTGACTTCAGACAACATGTTCGGTTTCCTAAAACCTGGACAAAGCCCTGGTTCCTGGATGAGCTTATAAACTACCCCGGGGGAAGCGGGGGGGGGGGGCTGCATGACACGGGGAGCTGTGCCTCCCGAGCAAACCCAGTCATTGCCTCTTCTTCTGGCTTGTAGAAAGCCCCTCTTTCCCCCTGTTCTAGCGACTGTTATTATGCGCAGCTGCTGGCTGCAGAAGAGAAGACGGGCTGGGTTTTTGCCACAAAAGCAGCTCTTCTCCTACTTCGAGGGAGATCACTCTGGCACTCTGCCAAACATGCTGCAGGCCACAGAGGCTCCAAAAATGGCTTGTCCTGGCTGTTGGACACTGAGGAAATTCACGAGAGTCCCTGGTGAACCTTGGCAACCTCCTTGCCTTTCTTCCAGTAGAGCCCACCCAGTTTGGGCAGCTTATGAGGCATCCAAGTGTAAATGTGTACCGTGACAGGCGTGTTTTAAACACTATTTGGCAGGGAATGATGCTGTGACTCATGGAGGTGATCTGCTCCTTGGGATTTCCCATTACCAACACATGAGACAGTAAATACCAGCTTAGGGTGGAATCCTTTGTGCATTATATGGGAAAGTGTCCCGGTGTGCCCCAGCCGACCATCCTGGCCGGTTGCTGTAGGACTGGCTTGTGCTGTAAACGCATGTGGGATGCTGGTGTCCTAAGTACTGTGTGTGTGGGGGGGGAGGGGTAAAAATATACCTTATATACACACATGTCTGCGCATGCCAGTTGTTTGATTTTACATTAATTAGCACTCTGTATTTCAAGCCTGAGACATGAACTCGGGCTCTTGAAGACTTCAGTCCTTTCTTTAAGGGAGAGGGAGAGAATCTGTGTGGCTGTTTGGAATTGCCAGATAGAAGGCAGCTGGGGTGTCCCGTTTTGTGTATCTTCCACTAGGCAGCAGGCGTATCCCAAACCATGGGAATCAACTAGTGACTAATCTAAGTATATTCCAGGTTTCCTGGACACAACAGCTTCTCAAATGTATCAAGAGATCTTCCTGTAATTTTGTAAGAGTCTATTGTAAATGTGCAATGTAAAACCTTTTTTCCAGCTGGCTGGAATTTCCAAGCAGGGGGTTAACCGATCTAGGAAAAGGGAACAATTAACAGCTACTTTTAGTTTGGCATAAACCATGGAGCAAAAGCTAGTGCTTGCAAACTCATGCCATAATTTATTGGATCATTTTCCTTCAAGGTGCTTCATGTTTGCTGCTGTTAGTTCTGCGGACAAACACAGTTGCCACCTTGGAAACAATCATTTAATCTAGAAAATAACTTAGATTACAACTTGCTACAAGATGCGAATCGTAGTTGCCTTTCCTTGCCTGCACAGGGCTTTTCTGTGTAATCCTGAAATACGGACGCATTGAGACTATGTGCATCCGGCAGGCTACCTTTCCCCTCTTAGCAGACGGAGATAGATAAAGACAACAGAGGCTCGGAGATAGATAAAGACAACAGAGGCTCGGCACAGTAAGCCCCCCTCCCAAGCCTGGGAACTGAGCAGTTCCTCTCCAAAGCTATGACAGCTCACTCCTGTGAGAAGAGGAGGGGGAGGAGGCTGCGCATCCTCTTGGCCCCCCCAAGGGCTGTGTGCAAAAGAATCTGTTTCCATGTGATGCAGTCGCTTTGCTAACAAAAGGGTTGGGTATAAATTGTACTGGAAAGGCGGCACCTCTGTGCAAAACAAGGGAATAGGAGCGGAGCGGCTTCTCCTGCTGCCCTTCCGCAGCTTTTCTGGGGCTGCCGTTGTGTATCACATCTGCAATTTGCTGCCAGAGCATCCCTGGGGGTCCTGCAGCCTCAGCGGCGGCAGCTCGCTGGCTCTCCGAAGCAATCCTGCCCATGTTTCTCTGCTGGGCTTCTGCTGACGACGCTGGTGAGGCAGGTGCCCCAGTCCTTGCAGACGCCCCCTTCACAGCCATTTATGGTGAAGCTACACTAAAAACCTCAGCAGCATAGCACGTTTTCCCAGGGAAAGGAACAGGACTGGTAGGTAAACAGATTTTTTAAGATGTTTTCCACTGCTTGAAAGACCTTCTGGGTTGGAGGAAAAGGCAGGGGAGAAGAGACCAAGGAAAAGGTTGCTGAAGGTAGACAATAAACATCGAAAGGAATCAGGATCCCTTTAATGGAATTTGGAAACGGATGCTACAGGGTGGTGAAATGGTGTTAGCTAAATCAGAGATTGCTCTGAAAGAGAAGTCCCCTAGGAGGTGAACGTTCACCGTTGGTTAATCAGGCGCCGAGTTTCTGAGATTAGCTGCTTTGCCTAAGACATCCTTGCTTTGTTCAGCAGCCTGGTGGCCAGAGGGAACCGTTTGGACATTTGCCTGTGCACGTCCTGATAAACGCATGCATTTATTTTTCGGCCTTGTCGTTGAGACAGGTGGGCAGTCACCTGGGTAACAGGCAGGTTGGGCCTGGTATCTCTGCAACAGGACACTTGGTGGCTATGCAGGCACCACCAGATTTCCCTCCCTCTGAATAACAGGTCAAAGTACGCAGAGATAAGGCTCCTGTTACCAGAGTCGGCCTCTTCTTTAAACAGGGCTAGCAACACTCCGCTTCGGCCTAGCAGGCAGGTAGCAAACACCTTGTGACTCAGAGAGCGCAAGAGGGAAATGCACCATGAATCAGAAGAAGCAGGTTCTTCTTAGAAGAGCACTATTTTTTCAAGTGTAGAATCTACAACATTCATACTCTGTGGTGCAGGTCAGGGAACGGCATGTAGTCCAAAAGGTTTGGTGGCTTTCTCAGTTAAAAATGTGCATGAGTAAGAAGTGGAGCAACAGGAGAACCTCAGAGTTTATAGATGATATTTCCTAGGTGGCTTTTCTGATTGCAGTGCTGGTTACCTAACACCGCAGGTGGGCTCTGCTACTGACCCTCCGTCTGCTCCTCTGTGTAGGCAATACCAAACTAGACCAACGCCTGGTCCAGTACAGCAAACGGGTGGGCACCCGTGCTCTGGACATGTAAAAGCCTGACTTAAAAATGACAAGAGCAAGAGCACTATTCATGTTACTTCTTGAAGGTATTTCTCTACTACCTTTAAAGAAGAACTCAAAGATATTTATGCAAAGTTATCAAAGCAATATGCTTTAATTTAAAAACATGCAGTAAATCGGAGAAGACAAACAACAGTTATCTTCCAGAAATTGTGCTTCTGCTGGTGCTTCCTCCCCCCAGGACAAGGTGGGGGGCAGTTGGTGAATGGAGGATGCATCAAGACATCTCAGAAGCAGAATGTTGGGTGAGAGGATCCTTCAGAATGATCCACTAGGGCACCTCTCTTCTCTCCTCTTCATCCTTCTGAGCGTAAAGCAGAACTTCTGCTGTCAGACTAAGTTTTTCCAGTCAGGAAAAGCCGACTACCCCCCAAATCTAAAACTGTATAACGATGTGCACCCCAGTTAGTCAGAATAGTTAATCTGCAATTGCATCGCCCATTTCATTACTGTTTTTGTTCATCATACTGGGTGCATTTAAAGTGCAAAGTATTTGATAAAATTAAAAACACAATCTGCTTCACTACTTGGTTGTGTGGTTTGGAAAATCTTCTATAGCCTTGGGTCTATAGAATAGCAAGGAAAAATGCGTCAATATTATGAGGTTGGAGATTTTGTGGGCTTTTCCTCTCACCTTCAAACATTCAATGCAGCTTTCTGTGATAATTGCCTGTGACAAGCATTAAGGTGTGCTTTTTGAGCTCTCTATCTCTTTCTTTTGCTGAAGATGCTCAGCACTAGTAGATAAATTCCACATAGTCATAATTACCATTAAAAAGTAAAGAACTACAGTAGACAAATTACAGTAGTCTTAACTATGGTCGCTGAAAGCAGGACTACTTCAGCCCACCGTTTATGCAGCAATCTTCTTTTAACTAATTTAATTTAAATTAAATTAGTTAACTAATTTAAGTTAACTAATTCTTAGTAAAAATGAACCACAGTTTAGGGTTTGGGCATTTTTATTGTGTGTTATTGTCTCTTTTATGGATTGTTGCAACTCTCCCAAGGAGTAGAAATGAAATTAATAATAACAACACTAAACTAATTCAGAAAAGAAGTTTCAGATCTCTTGGTTATTTCAGAGCAGGAAATTGGTACGAAGTATGTGACTGCAAAGCTCACATAGATTCATCCTTGTAAGGCTGGACCCTTCATTTGCATGAATTCTGTTTTCAAGCCTGGCCTATTGGTCACATCCAAATCACAAGTGGTATCTCTTTGGAGGGGTAGTTTATTTTGCAAGCACCTGGAACTAGCAACATGGACCGTGAAGCTGAAAGCAATCTTGCCCATTAGCGATGGGCGACTTGTGACCTTCCATATGCCTTGGTCTACAGCTCCCATGATTCTGCACCGCTGGCTGTGCTGATGTAGGCAGATGAAAGCTGTAGCAAAAAAATCTGGAGAGCCCCAAGCTACCCACTCTTGCTATGAAGCGCTTTTTGCCAAACGAAGCTGCAAACACAGGACTGATGAGGGAGATGGTGCTTAAGGAGAAAACATAATCTTGGCTCCCTGGTTTGAGCTTAAAACCTGCTTTTGCAAACAGCAAAGCTTCCTTAAAGGGGAACTATAGGTCACGTGAACATAAGAAATGTACAGATGGTCAAAATCATATTCTATGGATTTTTAGGCAGCCAAGGCTTGGGTGATCTCTCTGGAGAAAGAAAAGGCACAGGGTTTAAGCCCTGCAGAATGCTTGGCAGTTTCTCATCCACTGGAGCATGACTTCCTCACGGTTCTGTCCTAAATCTGTTGTGTCTGGCACATGCAGCTTGTGGGCAGCTGAGGAGCAGGTCAGCCATGGCGTTAGTGCTGCTGCAAGAAGAGCGCTCCATTGTTAGTGGAAGTCCAGACACGGGTGGCCTAGAACTTTGCAGCTGGGAAGTGGGCACGCTTGCATTTCTATATGTCAGCCATGGAAAAAGGGTGGTCTCTTGGGTGAGATTTGTTTGGAGCAGAGTGCAGAATGTGGGACACAAGTCAGGCACCGGGTGCCAAGGCGGAGGAGAGACAGAAGAGATGAGTCAGGCCTCGGAGTCCTCCGGGAAGGGGCTTGGTGACTTCACCGGGGACAGTGCAAACCCCTCGATGTCCCTGTTCTCTCCCTCAATGTGCATTTGCTGTCCCATTCCGCACTCATTTCGTGGCAGGGGTTTTGCTGATGTCACGGGATTCCCCAGCGGCTTCAGCACACGTCCTGGCAATATTGGCTGGGGAGGAAGGCGCATTTGATGTTTATATGCTGTGTACACCTCTGAAAAATCTTACCCGTGCCAAGCCTTAAACCTGTCATTTTGCAAAGCAGAAAAATATTATTTACTTTAAAAAGGAGGAAAAAGAGAAGAGTCTTGAAAATTAAACCTCGTGCCAAGTGTTAAGTAATTTAGTTTAAGACGAGAGAGGGAAAGATATAATGTGCAGAATCCCACGCTCACACACACACTTTTTAGAATTCCTACTTTTATTATCAGACAGAGCAGTATAGATTGCAGTGCAATCTTATGCAAGTCTACACAAAACCAAATCAAGTTGGATTTGGTGGCATTTACTCCCAAGTAAATGCAGATAGGTTTGCTCCCTTACTAAACATTTCCACAGCAACCTGCCTTTGTGTTTCCTTTCAGACCCAAGTAATAGCCCCATTATTTTCCATTAGCAATAAAAGGAGGAAAAGAGGCTGTAAGGAGAAGAGGAAACTCATTTAAAGCCCAAGGCATGCACAGTGGTACCTCGGTTCACGAACTTAATTCGTTCCATGATTCTGGTCACAAACCGAATCAAATTTCCCCATAAGGTTCAATGTAAAATAAGGTTAATCAGTCCTGAACCATATATAATTTTTTTTAACCACAAAATATGAAACAAAGTACAGTACAGTATGAAGAGAGAGAACACTAACCTTGCTTGAGGTGACTTCTGGTGTGGAGGACAGGAAGGTGGGTGGGGAGGAGGGTATTGTCTGGAGGGAGAGTCTGCGACCACGATCTTGACTTGAGGAAGCCGTGACCACGTGTCAGAGTAGTGGGGAAGATGGCCGCATTCGTGTTCATGCGAACATGATTGTGGCCCTCTTCCCGCTCGAACACGCTCTGACACGTTGCAGTGCGGGGAAGATGGCCGCGTTCATGTTCATGCGGGGAAGATGGGCAAGCCGTGATCCTCCCTCCCAGCCCTTCCATTGAAAGTTGCATGGTGCTATCCTTGGGCTTGTCTGTCATTGTGTGCTTCAAATATCCCATATACGTGGTTAGTGATGGATCAGTTGTTATTATTATTATTATTAATTATTATTATTATAACATTTCTATGCCGCCCCTTGCCGAAACCTCGGGGCAGCTTACAACACGATAAAATACATTGAAATACAATAGCACATAATAAATTACCATTAAATACAAAAATACAAAAAATACATTGATTTACAAATATAAGATTAAAATTATCAGTATAAATTAAGTAAATAAAAATATAGGAGGAGAAAGAGAAGGAAGAAGAAGTTGCCCTGGCCAGATCATATGTTTTAACAATTAAAATGATGTTTAAATAAAAAGGTCTTTACCTGGCTCCGAAAAACCAGTAACGACGGTGCCAGGCGGACCTCTTTGGGGAGTGAATTCCATAGGCTGGGTGCCACCGCAGAGAAAGCCCTCCTCCGAGTACTCCGAGTAATGTAGTAATAAACTACATTAGAATGAAAAATCCAGGGGCAGCTGGCCTGTGGTAGGGTCTACTCTTCACCTGGCAGTATGGAGACCCTACTTACCAAGTTGTTTTATGTACAACCCATAATAAGCTATGAGAGCAGGACTGTAACTCATTGACTTGCTGCGAACAATATAAACCACACTCAAGGGTTGAATAAGGGTTGTCGTTGAACTGTGGGTTGTTGTTGAAACATGGATTTTTGTATTGTCTGAACTTAGCCAAGATATTAAACTGTGAAAAACCCACAGTTTGTAAGCGAGCAACAAAGCATGAA